TAATTCGAATTATGCCAGTGATAATTTTCACGGGAATTGCTCATTAAGTTAGTATTTATTATTAAATTAAATTGAAAATTTATTATTTAATTTTTACTTTGTCTTTCTTATTTGGTTCTTTATTTTTTCTATTAAAAATATTTCTTACTTTTTGTTACTAAAAAATATTTTTTATTAAAATTTATTTTTTTTAAATTACTTGCCTATTGACAAAATAAATATTTACTTGATTCGAATAATTTTTTTGTAACGAAACTAATTTTTATTTAAATTAAATAGTTTTTATTTAACTAAACAAATTTTTATATAAAACGACTGTTTTTTATATCTAAATTTAACTAATTCAAATTATTAATTAATTTCAAATCAAATAATTTTGGAACTGAACTAATTTTTATTTGAATGAAAAAGTTTCTATTTACAAATAATTCATAATTGAACCAATAATAATTTCAGTAAATGAATCAATGACAATTAACTAAATTTAAATAAAAAATAATATTGATTCAAGTAAATTTATTTATTTCCTTTATCTCTTCATTTGAAATAAATATTTATTTATTTATTTGATTCAGAGATAATTGTGTTTGATTAAATCATATTATTTTTTCGATGTAAATTAAAAATTGTTTTTTTTTCTTAAACATTTTGAACTAAATTAAAATTTCTTTTTTCTATACAAAAGAAGAAATTCTTCCACTTTTTTTTCTATTTTTGTTTTTTGAAATTTCGATTTTTTTCAAATAAAAATAAAATATAAAAAAATGTGATAACTACAGTACCGCCGTAGCTAATTGTCTCGAGATGAATCTGAACGCAGCTGTCGATCTTGTTTATCGAATTAAGGATATTTTTGTCGGCTATCAAACTGGTTTCGATACAGCGTCAAGTAAATTGACAAAAAATGATTTTGGTCTCGGTTTTGCACTCAACGATATGGATTTTCATTTTCGCTGCAATTCCATTCCCACTGAATTTGGACTTTCAATTCATCGCAAAGGTAAAATTTCTCTTCTTTTAAGTTTAAAAAATTTTTATTAAAAAAAATTCCATTAATGTGCAAATAAGAAACATTTTTCGTTTCTTTTTTTTTATTTCTTTCATTAAAATTTTCAACCAACTTTTATAATTATAAAGAAAAAATACTTTTCAGATTTTGTACTAAAAGTATTTTTTTTTATTTTTAACAAAGCGACTTAACTCGTGCTAATTGCTAATTAATAAATAACACTTGTTACTAGCTAATTGTTAATTGCTAAATGTTAATTAACAGTCAAATTATTGACAAATAATTAATACTTGCAAATTGTTCAATCAATAATTTCTACGTGCTAATTAGTAATATATAATTAACACCAGGTAATTGTTAATTCGTGAATTATTTTGTAAACTTTCAATTTTAAATTAATTTCATTAGAAATATTAAAAAACTTAGATTTAAAAAAAAATTTTAAACTAAAATTCTTCTGAATTACAAATAATTGCAGAAATTCAATTATTTTCAAAAATAGTAAAATTCTTCTCAGAAATTCAATTATTTTCAAAAATTTTCGTCAATTCAACGATTTTTAATATCTACTACTTTAAAAAAAATTCAAAAAAAAAATTCAATTTGTAAAAAAAGAATTAAAAAAATTCTACGCAAAGATATTTTTTTTCATAAATAATAAAAATTTCCAAAGAATTCAATTATTTACAAATTATTTTCATAAGTTATTATTCAATTATTTTCATAATTAATAAACTTTAATGCTGAACTTCAATTATTTTTAATACAATTTTAATGGAATTCCTCGAAAAATGTAATTATTTCAAAAAAATTTTATTAAAATTTATCAAAGATATTCAATTATTTTAAAAAAATTTGCTACAATTTATTTATTAGAATTTCAGTATTATTTTCAATACATTTTTAATTTTTCTTTAAGGAATTAAATTATTTTAAAAAATTTTAATAAAATTCTTGGCAGAATTTCAAATATTTTCAAAAACTTTCCTCAATTCTATGATTTTTAATATCTACTACTTTAAAAAAAATTTCCTAAAATATCCAATTAGTTAAAAAACATTTTAATAAAATTCGACGTAAACATTTCATTATTTTCATAAATAATAACATTTTTAACAGGGATTTAATTATTTTTATAAATAATAACATTTTTAACAGGGATTCAAATATTTTCATAAATAAAAAACTTCAATGCTGAATTTAAATTATTTTTAATACAATTTTAATGAAATTCCTCGAAAAATGTAATTATTTTAAACAAATTTTATTAAAATTTATCAAAGATATTCAATTATTTCAAAAAAATTTTGCTACAATTTATTTATTAGAATTTCAGTATTATTTTCAAAACATTTTTAATTAAATTTCTTTCAAGAATTAAATTATTTTGAAAAATTTTAATGAAATTCTTTGCGTAACAATTCAATTCTTCTTCAAAATAATTTTAATAAAATTCTTCGCAAAAATTCAATTATGTTTAAAAATTTACAAAAATTCTCGTCAAAATTTCAATAATCTTTATAAATAATAAAATTTTTCTCCGAAATTCAATTATATTCAACAATTTTAACAAAACTCTTGGTAGAATTTAAACTATTTTTAACACAATTCTCAGCAAATTTTTCGCAAAATGCAATTATTATTATTCTTTAAAATTTTATTAAAATTTGTCAAGAGAATCCAATTATTTAAAAATTTGTTGATAAAATTTTTTTTTAATTTTTTTTTAAGAATTTTTTTTTAAGAAACAATTCAATTGTTTAATAAAATATTTATTTTTATAGTTAAATAATTAAATTTTCGTTGAATTTTCTAATAAATATTGATTTAAAAATAAATTTTAAATTAAAATCTTTGAAAATTTGAACTTTTTACACTTTTAATTAAGAATTTTGTAGAATTAATTTTTCTCAATAAGTTTAATTGAATTTTTTTTCAAATTATTTGAAGTTTTTAATTTCTAATATATATCAATTATTTTAAAAAATTCTAATAAAATTCTTGTCAAAATTTTTAATTATTTTCAAAAACTTACTTTATAATAAAAAATTTCTAAAAGAATTCAATTAGTTAAAGAAATTTTTAATAAAATTATACGCAAACATTTAATTGTTTTCATAAATAATAAAAATCAATGATGAATTCAATTATTTTTAATACAATTTTCATCAAATTTTTCGAAAAATGCCATTATTTTTAAAAATTCTATTAAAATTTAAATTCCATTAAATTTTTAAGAGAATTCAATTTTTTAAAAATTTGTTGATAAAATTCCTTATGATGTTCAATTTAAAGAAATATTCAATTGTTTAATAAAATATTCATTTTTATTGTTAAATAATTGAATTCTCTTAGTGCTTTCTAATAAATATTGAATTAATAATGAATTTCAAATTAAAATCTCTGAAAATTTGAACTTTTTATACTTTTAATAAAGAATTTTGTAGAATTAATTTTTCTCAATAAGTTTAATGAAATTTTTTTTTTAATTATTTGATGTTTTAATTTCTAATATATTTAATTGAAGAATTAAATATTTAATTAAATTGATTATAATATTATTTATATTAATAATTAATTATTTGCAATTATAAATTAAAAATTAAAAAATATTTAATAGTAAAAAAATAAAATTAAATAAAATTAAATAAAAAATAAAATTAGTATCGCGTGTTAATTGTGAATTGTTAATAGTTATAATTAGTTATAAATAATAATTCGTTATAACGAGTGTTAATTGTTTGTTCTCCAAATTAAATACAGAATTAAAATTAAAATAATTGAAATAATTAAAATAATTTAAACAGTGAGCGATAATTGGTCTGTGGCGATGAATGGACTGTTCGCAAAAAAAGGCGATTCACAATTATGGACATTGGGAATTGGTGGAAAATACGAATGGCCGGACGGTGCGATATTTCGCTGGAAACTGGACAAAGATCAACAAATAGGAATAAGCTTCAGTCAAAGGCTACGCGACATGCTGAATTTGACACTGTCCTTCAATATTGACAGTGCAAATCTAGACAGCGGTGGCCACAAGGCTGGTATCAGCTTTGAATTAGAAGCTTGATTGTCATTTCCAGAATTGTAATTAACAGCCTTTCCCCTCTTACCCCTTCTTTGCCTGTGTGCAAGAATTTCAATTTCGAAAATATAAATATACATTTAAATAAACATTTTTGAACCACAATTTTTGTTTATTTCACTTTATATCAGAGGATGATGGAGATTTGAAAAATTTTTATTTCCTAATATTTACTGTACTCGAGGCTATAAAATGTTTGTAAATTTGTCTGACTGAAACTATATTTGAACTACTTGCAAATACAGATTGAGAAAAAAAGGGAAAAAATTTGTAATATTTTTTTTTGTGACTATTTAGGGTATTTTTACTTTTTATGTGTGCGAAACTCTCTTGTAATTATTATGAAAGATGGAAAGAAAAAATAAATAATTTAAAAAATAATTGTCTGGCAGAAGTTTACTTTTACTACATTTTTTTTTTTACAAAATTTACAAATATTCTAAACGAAATTGATTTTTTTTGCTAATTTTAGTAAGAATAGAATTCTCTTTTTACAGAAATTATTTAATTTTAGTAAAAAGAGAATTCTTTTTTTACAAAAATTATTTTCTAGTTATCACTAATATAAGAAATAATCTGCAATTATCTGATTACCATTTTTAAATATTTTTGAGTTTTATTTCATTTTTTTTTAAATTAAAAATAAAAATTTGTCTGACCATAACGCACTTTTACTACTTATCACAAAATTAAAAAATTTCGTCGCTGATAATTACTTTTACTAAAATTTTTTTTAACAAAAAAGCAAATTAGACAGAAATTTCTATCTTAGTAATTATTTTTACTACTGATTTTCGAATTTTGAGAATTGGTAGTAGTAAAAGACAGTTTTAGTCAGACAAAAATTAGAATGAGTATAAGAAAAAAAAAACAGGAAAAATTAAAAAATAAATTTTTCCAAACCTTGTGCCGAGGAACTGCTGGCATACTGCTCGTTCGGCCACGATATTGTCTTGGAATTGGTCCACGTGAGCCAGAGGCCGAGCCCGATGGACTTGTGGGACTTGGACCACCGGGACTTGCACCAGGACTCAGGTGCGATGTACAGGAAGCTGCTCCGGGACTAATTGCCGGCGTTCTCGTTGGACTTCTCGACGATGGTGACAAGTGACCCCAAGGACCCGCTTCTGCCTGCAGAAATCTATAATCAGAGAAAAAATAAATATTTATTAAATTATTTAATAATCAAATATTTTATTTTTCAATATTTTACAATAATAAAATATTTTATTATTTAATTGTTAATGAATAAAATATTTTATTATTTAATTCTTTAGTAGTAAAATAAAAATTAATTTTCCTTTATTTAAATATTTTTCCGTAAAATATTCTCAATTTTGAAAAATTAAAAATATTTTGCAAAATTAAAAATTTTTAATTTGAAACTAAACAAATGTTTCGAATTCTGGCGAAAAATAGGACGGATTTTATTATAATAGAAAAATAATATAAATTTTTTTTCGCTAAAATACTATTTATTTACAGTACATGATAAATAAAAATAATTATAGTAAAAAGAAAAAATTCAAAAATAAATAAAAAATAATTAGTAAAAAAGTAGATAAAAAATAAATAAAAAATAATTAGTAAAAAAGTAAATAAAAATAAACTAAGAGTTTGTCTGGCCATAACGGACTTTTACTACTTATCACAAAATTAAAATTTTCCGTTGCTGATGATTACTTTTACTAAAAAATTATTAACAAAAAAGAAAAATAAATAAAGAAATAAATAAAAAATATAAATAAAAAATTGAAAAAAAGAACTTGGCAAGATTATTTTAGGCCTATCGAGATTTTTTTCTTTTTTGAAATCTTTTTATTCCAAACTGCTTATGCGGGCAAAGTTTATTTCTTAAAGTGGGTCAAGTCGTTTTGTTGGAAGTTCACATTTCAAGAGGAAGAGGCAATTTTTCTTTAAGAATAGATTGTTTTTTGTTTCAGTGAATTTCTTTATTAATTACATATTTACTTTTTAAGTAAAGCAAACAAAAATTTCAAGAAAAAAAAAGTTTTTTTTTTAACTTTTTAAGTAGTGTAAGTCAGTCTTAGTCAGACAGGGTAATTACAAATTTTACTAGATATATCAGTAGTAAAAGGTATCTTAAGTCAGACAAAATATTCTTTTTCTTCTGTTTTTAAGTAGTTAAAAATGGATGAAATTTTGTCAATCAGTAGTAAAACTCAATTTTAGTCAGACAAGATATATAATTACGAATTTTACTATATATCAGTAGTAAAAGGTATTTTAAGTCAGACAAAATATTCTTTTTTTCCACTCTTTATAAGTAGTAAAAAAAATGCAATTTAGAAGATTATGGATAAAATTTTGTCAATCAGTAGTAAAAATCAGTTTTAGTCAGACGTTTTACTATTACGGAATTTTACTATCAGTAGTTAAAAAAATTTAAGACAGACGAAATGTTCTTTCTTTTTTCTGTTCGTAAGTAGAAGAAACAATATAAATTGGTCCTGGATGGATAAAATTTCGTCATTAGTAGTGCAAGTCAGTTTTAGTCAGACATATATTTGGAATTTTAGAATCAATTTTAGTAAAAGGGATTTTAAGTCAGACAATAAAATTTGTTCGTCCGTGTATAAAAATTTAGTTGATAGTAGTATAAGACCGTTTTAGTCAGACAGAAAGATTTGGAATTTTACAATCAGTAGTAAAAAGCATTTTAAGTCAGACAAAGAATTTTCAGTTTTTCTTTGATTGTAAAATGTAGAAAAAAAATTTGGTCTTCCGTGGAAAAAAACTTTGTTAATAATAGCACTAGTCAGTTTTAGTCAGACAGGGAAATTCAGAATTTTACTATGATTAGTAAAAGGTATTTTAAGTCAGACAAAATATTCTTTCTTTCCTGCTTATTAGTAGTAAAAAGAAGGGAATTTAGTAGACAATGGAATAAATTTCGTTAGTAGTAGTACAAGCTAGTTTTAATCAGACACGTTTGAAATTTTATTGTTAGTAGTACTAGATATTTTAGGTCAGACGAAATATTTTTGCTTTTACGTGCTTATAAGTAGAAAAAAATAAAATTTGGGTGTCGATGGACTAAATTTTGTCACTAGTAGTGCCAGTCAGTTTTAGTCAGACAAAGATTTGGAATTTTACAATCAGTAGTAAAATGCAATTTAAGTCAGACAACAATTCTTATTTTCTCTTTTTTTGTAAGTAGCATAGAAAAAATACAGTTCAATCATTCGTAGCCAAATTTTGTGAATAGTAGTGCAAGTAAATTTTAGTCAGACAGAATTTTTATAATAGTAGTTAAGATCTATTTTAGTCAGACTATTTCGAAATTTTATTAATATTCCAAGAATTCTTGTATAATATTAATAAAATTTGGAAGAAGACGAATTTTCTGTCATTAAAAAATTTTTTCTTTCTGTTTTAAATAGCCAAAAAAATTCGTAACAAACTTTTGTTTACAGTAGTGCAAGTCACTTTTAGTCAGACAGATAATTTCGGAATTTTTAAATTATAAGTAGTAAAAAAAATTTCTGGGCATAAAAGAAGAATAATTTTTCTCGTAAATAGCAAATAATAACAAAATTTCGACATTAGTAGTAGTACGTAAGTAACTTTTAGTAAAACCAAAATTACGTTTTTGTTCTACTATATCAGTAGTAAAAGTACTTTAAAGTCAGACAAAGAAAAAAATTCCTCCCTCTTTTATAAAAAAATTATTTACGAAAATTGTCAGTTCCTTTACTTTCTAAATTTATAACAAAAAGTGGGTCAATTTTTCGAACGGCAGGAAAATATATAATGTACAGTTTATTTTTGAAGAAATAATTAAATGATGGACAAAAACGATGAAAAATACGGAAATAGAATTTTAAAGAGAAAATATTTTCTATACACAAGAAGACGTAGTTTTGAATGAAAAGAATCGAGAGAAGGCAGTCAACCTTTAAAGTCTAATATTGACACCACTTGTATGTGTATGTGAATATAAAAAAAAGAGAGAGAGAGAGAAAGTAGATAAGAAAAGAAAATGTTGAAAAGTGTTGGTGAGGACATAAAGTGCAAAAATTCAATTTCTTGATGGTTACTATTATTATTATTATTATTATTATTATTATTATTATTATTATTATTATTATTATTATTATTGTTACTATATATTATACCTGTGTAGATCTGGTGTTGGTCTCGCAACTGCAATACTTGAACTTCTTCTCCTTGAAGGAACAGTCGGTGATTTTGGTCCTTCTGAAGATGAATGAATCTGTGCACCGGAAAATGATGTCCCATGTACTCGCACCTCGATTTCACTGCTTCGCCTTTGAAATGTTTTTTTATTCCTTCGCTTATTCTTTGCATCCGCATTCGTGAAATCTCCTTTTCTGTAAATAATTTTACGAAAATTTTTATTTATATATATCAGAATAATCACATATGTGGCAATAAAATTTTACAAAAATTTGTTTATTATTATGCAATAAGCAAAATTCAGAAAGAATTTTTTATTCCTACTCAAACTGTTTAATTATTTTTTATTAATTAATATTATTATTTTTAATTATTTTTATTAATGTTTCATTATATATAATTAAATTATTTATATTATTATATTAATTATATATAATTAATTATACACTAAACAAATTTTATTTTAATACAAAAATTTGTAGCCAACCAAAAAAAATTTATTTGAATTAAACATATTTTATAATTAAATTGAACGTAATTTTTATTGAATTCAAAATTATTATCAAAATAAAAAATGTAATCAAAAATAATATTTGGTTGAATGTATAACAAAGATAATTATGTTTTATTCAAAATTTCAAATATATTGTTTTCTCAGTGTATTATTATTATTATTATTATTATTATTATTATTATTATTATTATTATTTTATTTTATTTTGCTATTTATAAATATATGTAATTGAATTGTTTCGAAGGATGTTTTAAAGTTTTTGAAACTAATTTAATTCTATAGAAATTTTTTATAATTAATTAAGAACATAATTGAATACTTTCCTGAAATTTTTTTTTTGAAAATAATTGAATTTTTTCGATGGATTTATTAAAATTTTTAAAAATAATTGAATTTTGTTGAAAAATGTTATTAAAATTTTTTAAAAAATTGAATTTTTGCAAAGAATTTTACTATTTATAAATATAATTGAATTGTTTCGAAGGATTTATTAAAATTTTAGAAAATAATTTAATTTTATAGAAATTTTTTATAACCATAATTAAGAAAATAATTAAATAAAAAATTGAAAAAATAAAATAATTGAATTCTTTCTTGTTATTTTTTTGAAAATAATGGAATTTTTGCAAAGAATATTATCTATTTATAAATATAATTGAATTGTTTCGAAGGATTTATTAAAAATTTTTTAAATAATTGAATTTTTTTGAAAAATATTATTAAAACATTTTAAAAAAAATGAATTTTTGCAAGAAATTTTACTATTTATAAATATAATATTTAAAAATATAATTTCGAAGGATTTATTAAAATTGTAGAAAATAATTGAATTCTGTAGAAATTTTTTATAACCAATTAAAAAAACAATTTAAATCTTTCCTGAAATTTTTTTGAAAATAATTCAATTTCTGCATAAAGAATTTTACTATTTAAAAATATAATTGAATTGTTTCGTAGGATTTATGAAAATTTTTAAAAATAATTGAATTTTTTTGAAAAATGTTACTAAAAAAATTTTTAAAAATTGAATTTTTGCAGAGAATTTTACTATTTTTAAATAATATAGAATTGTTTTGGAAAGGATTTATTAAAATTTTAGAAAATAATTGAACTTTTACGAGAAAAATATTATTAAAAATGTGTTTTTAAAAAATGGAATTCTTCCATGGATTTTTTTTTTTTTTTTTTGAAAATAATTTAATTTTTGCAAAAAAGTTTACTATTTATAAAAATAATTATAATTCTTACATAGAATGTTATTATTTTTATTTATGAAAATAATTGAATTCTTGCGAAGAATTTTATTAAAATTTTCGAAATTAATAAACAAAAATAATTAATTTGAAAAATAAATTAATAATTGAATTTTTTTAAAGTTTGAATCTGAAATTATTTAAAAATTCATATTTGAAACTAAAAAATGTTGTAATTTGCACAATAATAATAAATTGAACATCAGGTTCCGCGCTAGCGCTCGTAACATTTGCTAGTAAAATAAATAAAATTTTAATAAAAATGTAAAGAGGAGAAAAAAAATAATATACGGATGTAACCAACAGATGTAAAATTGATAATTAATAAGATAACTGTTGAAATTAGAAAACAAGATGAGAATTATAATAGGCAATAAAAAAAAATGAAAGAAAAGAATAAAAAAAAAATTTCTTTATAATGAAAAATTTTTTTTTTCTAGCGCTCCTTTTATTATAAAATCTTTTTTCTTCAATATTATAAGTAGATATAAAATTCTTAGCAAAAAAAAAAAGAAACTATAAATATAATTTTGAGTTGAAAGTATAAAAAAAAAATCTTAAGAGCGTTTTTTTTCATTTTGGCTCTCGCTAAGTTGCCATTCGTTATAAGTTTATGATCTTTTTTCCGATATGAAATGAGATAAGTACAAAACCAGCAGAGAGAAAGTCACATTTTATTGCGCTAAAATTGCATTTCTATTTTCTAAATATTGCTCTTTTTCTTTTCCTCAACGAAAGGCAGAAACATTTTTTGTAAGAAAAAAAAATATTATTATTATTATTATTAATAATAATATTATTATTATTTTCTTATGAATATTATGTATAAAAATGAGTGCAATTTTGTTGATCATTTATCATTATGTATAATTTATAATAATAATAAAAAATTATTATTACAATTATTTATATTATTACTAAGTACTACCATTATCATATATTATTATTGTTATTTAACTATAATTCCTATCTTCAATAATAAAATAATTTCAAAACCTAAAATTGTTAATCAATAATTTGAATTTGAATAAAAAAATAAATATAATAAAAGATATTAATTTCCATATATATATATTGATCAATTTATTGAATTATCTTTATTAACTGCGGGACCAATGTTAAATAAATAAATAAATAAATAAATAAATAAATTAACTGTCATTATATTCTTTCATTATATTAATAGTATCGGTATACATTAAATTTTTTTGAATAAAATTGTTACCGAAATAAAATTGGAGAATGGTCTCTCAGGGGACAAGTTTTTATATTTATATTCATAACATATATTTATATATATATATATATATATATATATATATATATATATATATATATATATATATATATATATATGTACTTTATATATGTACGTGTATATCAAATTTCATGGGCGTGAAAAATTCGTTGATCGTTTATGGTTACTTCATATCACCGTTGTAGATATAAAACTATATGTACATATATAGTCAGTCCATCAAAATTCAGTGCTTCAATAGTATAGAGAACATATATTTTTATAATGTGGCTCTTAAAAAAAATTGTTATTCTAAATTTTATGGGAATAATATTTGCATTAAAACAACGTGACTGTAAGCCAAATACAATTCAAGGGGAAGAACAAAAATTGAAAAATTATTTATTTTTAAATTACGATTCATCGAATCCACCGTGCGCGAATAAAACGACTGTTGATTTTTTAATTTATCCGAAGTCTATTACTTTTGTGAGTTTATTGCTGTACTATTATTATTATTAATATTACTATTATATTATAGCATCACTACTACTATTTTTTGGGTTTTTTTAATTACTATTACTATTATTATTTTTTACTATTTCTATTACTATTATTTTTTACTATCGCTATTACCATTATTATTTCTATTAATATTATTTTTTACTATCACTACTACAATTACTATTTTTATTAATACTATTTTTTACTATCACTACTACGATTATTATTTCTATTAATATTATTTTTTACTATTACTACTACGATTACTATTTCTATTACTATTATTTTTTACTATTTCTGTTACTATTATTTTTTACTATAAATGTTACTATTACTATTATTTTTTACTATAACTGTTACTATTATTAACTGTTACTATTACTATTATTTTCTACTACTACTATTATTATTTTTATTATTTTTTACTATTACTACCTCGATTACTATTTCTATTAATACTATTTTTTACTATCACTACTACGATTACTATTTCTATTAATATTATTTTTTACTATTGCTACTACGATTACCATTACTATCACTATTATTTTTTACTAATATTATTATTATTTTTAGTATTTTTTACTACTACTATTATTGCTGCTATTATTTTTTACTCCTACTATTACCACTACTATTCTCTCTAAATTTGAATTAGTAAAAATGTTTACCATTTTAAATTAGTTACTGACTTTTTGCTTTTGAATTATTAAATTTTACTAATAAATTAATAGAAATAAAAAACTAAAAACAATTTTTCATTAAATTTTAAATTAATTTATAAATCAATTTAATTAATATTAAAAGGTAAAGTCCCGTATACTTTGAAATATAAATTAATAAATAAGTAAATAAGTAAATAAATAAATATAATTAATTTAGTCAATATAATTCAATTAGTGTGAATAGTAATTAGAAATTATTAAATAAAATTCTCATTAAAATTATTTCCAATAATTTTTTTTTTTTGTCCATTTATAGAATGAACATTCAAATACACTTGACATTAACTGTATCTCCATTTCAGTGAGTATATTAAAATAAATTCTTTTGTTTTTATTTTCTATTATAATATGTATAACATTTTTTAAAAAAATATACATTTTTTTTGAAATAATAATATTGTTTTATTAAATTTATATTTAAACTCTTATATTATAAAAAGAATTGGAATGATGATCGTCTCATGTGGGACGAAGAGAAGTTCAATTTGATTGATGATAGTTTGCAAATTGATGACACTGAAATTTGGATACCGGATATTTCGGTGCACACATCGTGAGTTTTTAATAAAAAATTTTTTATTTCTAAAATAAAAATATTAAATTTTATATTGCTAGTGTGTAATCTATAATATATTTATTAATCAAATTTATTTCATATATTTTTTATTATAATATACTCTCTAAATTTGAATCAGCGAAAAGTCGCTGATTCACCAGCCCAGAGTATGCAGCTGATGAAACAGCGTATATACGCTGGAAAATCAGTGCATATACGCTGTTTCATCAGTGTATATACGCTATTTCATCAGCTGCATACTCTGGGCTGGTGAATCAGCGACTTTTCGCTGATTCAAATTTAGAGAGTAGGCTGAATAAAAAAAAAATAATTATATGTGTAAGTGTAATAATAAAAAGGCCAAAAAGTTTTTTATTAATAAAAGGTCCTATTAATAGGATTATTATTATTAATAATAATTATTATTACTCAAACTATAAAATTATTTGATGATTATTAACAAGAAGCATAATTATGATAATGTTTATTATATAATTACCATTATCATAATTATCCTATTTTTTGTTGCTATTATTATTATTATTATTATTATATTTTTTTATTTTATTTTTTATTTTTATTATTATTTGTACTATTATTATATATATATTTATTTATATTATTTTTTATTTTAATTATATTTGTACTGCTGTTATATATTTTTTATTTTATTTTTGAGTTTTATTACTACTTGTATACACGGAGAAAATTTATTCCTGAAATTTTACTGAATTTAGTTCGGTAAAACTGGGATGAAGTGTCAAAACAGTAATTTTTCAAGAACTAGGCTGTAAAAGAAATTGCATTGAAAAATAATGTAAAAATCATAAAGCTCACGATACATGTATTAGCGCTTCAGTTACAGTTCGGTAAAACGTAAGCCAAGTGCTCGCTACATTCATATTTATTGAATAGTTCGGTAAAACGTAAGATAAAGTCCTCGATAAAACTGACGAGTTGCAATTTATTGAATAGTTCGGTAAAACGTAAGATAAAGTCTTCGGTGAAACTGACGAGTTGCAATTTATTGAATAGTTCGGTAAAACGTAAGATAAAGTCTTCGGTGAAACTGACGAGTTGCAATTTACTGAAAGTTCGGTAAAACTTGAAGAACAAAAATAAAAAATAATGTTACTTCAGTAGATCTATATTAATACTGCCGTAACTCTCAATTTACCTACTTTAATCACTACCTAAACCCCCTACAATTGTTTACGAACAAATACTAATTGATACACCTGCCTACAGTACATTCTAAACGCATACACTAATACACACATCGCACGCTTTACATTAATGCTTCAGAAAGTTTCAACTGTCCTTATATATTAATCTCAATTTTATTTCACCGCTTGTGAGAAAGATTCAAATTAATAAACTATCGTTGTACAAAATTAAAAATTATTTATATTAATGAATCATTTCTAACTATATTCAAGGTCAATTTATGAAATATTTTTAAATTATGTTTTTATTATTATAAAGAAAAATGTTTAAATTTGTATTTAATGGAATAAAACAATAATTTATGAAAATCCTTATTATTTTCAAATTTTTGTGTTTAAAATTAAAAATATACATATTAAAAGTGCAAGTTGGAAATTATTAAATTAATTAATAGAAAATTAATCTTTCTGAAATATTAAATAATAATTGTGAGGTATTAAAAAGCGAAAAGGAAATAAGCAAGTAAGCAAATAAGGCATTAAGTAAGCAAGAAGGAAATAAGCAAGTAAGAAAGTAAGCAAATAAGAAAGTAAGTAATCAAGAAGGAAATAAGCAAGTAAGAAAAGTAAGCAAGGAGGAAATAAGCAAGTAAGCAAAGTAAGCAAGAAGGAAATAAGAAAGTAAGCAAGTAAGCATATAAGGAAGTAAGTAAGCAGAAAGGAAACAAGCAAGTAAGCAAGAAGGAAATTAGGAAGTAAGCAAATAAGTAGGTAAGCAAGTAAGCAAATTAAGCAAGTAAGTATGCAAATAAGAAAGTAAGCTAGTAAGCAAGCAAGTTATTTCCTTTTTGCTTACTTGCTTACCTACTTATTTACTTACTTACATACTTACTTATATGTTTAATTGCTTACTTATTTATTTCCTTTTTGCTTACTTACTTATGTTTATTTGCTTACTTACTTACTATTATTCATATTGAATTAAAATGAATAAATTATATGTTAAAAAAATAAGTATGTTATTGCCATTTTATATTTTCTTTTTACTTGATTTAAAAGCATTTATTACATATTTGGCAATTAATAAGTGTTTAAAATAATTAATTAATTGAATTTTAATTTAAATAATAATAAAATGATTATTAATTAAGTCTAAATAAGTTGGAAAAATCAACTATTAGTGTGAAAGTCTTTCATTTGACTGCGGGACACTTGAAATAAAGTATTTCAATCCAGAAAACTAAAACTTTAGGCAAGTCAAGGAAGTTTTACCGAACTATTCTTGAAAACTAACACTTTAGGCAAGTCAAGAAAGTTTTACCGAACTATTCCTGAAACGTTAGTGCCCATCAAGGAGGTATTTATTTAATTTACATTAAACGTTCAGTTTCAATTTTTTTTCAACTTTTACAGTACTAGTTCTTAAGAAATAAAGATATCACATTAGATTTTAAATATTGTTACCGAAAAAATAATATAAAAATTATTAAAAATTACGATTATGCTACTATATCCCAAGTTTATTGAAAAATTCGGTAAAATGTAAGGAACAAATTTTCTCCGTGTATACTATTATTATATATTTTTAATTTTTGATTTTAATTATTATTTGTACCTACTGTTATTATATATGCTTTTATTTTATTTTTGATTTTTATTATTATTATTTGTACTATTATAAAATATTTTTTTATTTTTATTATTATTTGTCTTATTATTATTTTTCTTTCAAATTTTTTGCAATTTGTATTATTATTGTTATTATTATTATTATGATTACTGTCGTCTTTAGCGGAGATTTGAGCGTGGAGCAAACGCCTTCTACGACATATTGCATATTATTTCACACTGGAATAATTTGGTGCAAGTCCTCAGTGGTTTATACTGTTATGTGTTACACTGATTATACAGCATGGCCATTTGATATTCAATACTGTGACGTACAACTCGGTTCGTGGGCACATGACAGCACTGTTCTCAATCTGACAGTTAAAGGGACAAATTGGGTACAAATGAAATTCTTCTTTTAAGCAAAATAATTTTAATTACATTTTTCTTAATTTTCCCTCTCCTTCTACTTGACTCAAACTGATAGATACATTTTACTCTTTTATTAGTAACATTACAATCTTTTTATTATTATTATTATTATTATTATTATATTATATGTTATTAACATCAAACAAGAAAAAATAATTTATTTTATAACACGAAGGAAAATATTCACCTGGAACAGGTACAAATTTGATTATAGATTAGTCAAATTTTTAGTTGTTTCAGTTAAAACTTTCCCTACTTTAGGGAAACTTATCGCTGTTCCAGGTAAATTTATTTTTCCGAGCAATAAAAATACTAATAATAATAATAAAATAAAAAATATTTATTTACTTAGTTTATTATTATTTATTTATTATTATTATTATTTATCTATAATTATTATTAAAATACCAAATTAAATATAATTTTAATTCTAATTGTAAAGATATTGTAGTTATTGTATTTAAAGTTATTTTGTACTTATTTTTATTTTATTTTGTTTGCTTTTTTATTTACATTTGATATAAAAAAAGCTTTTTTCATTTATTTATGAACTCTTAGCTTTTTCCCATATCTATGATATACATGTATATATTATTTTTTTACTTCCTTCGTTACGAGATATAACACACATTTCTTTTTATTCTTTGCATTTTACAGATGTGGGGATATTATACTCAAAATCCACAATGGGATGTGGTCTACAATAAAACTGGAATAACAGATACAAAAAATAAATATGACTGGGAAAAAAAGTCCTACATTCTCTGGATTCAAATGGGACTGAAAAGACGTAGTGATATTATGAAAGTTTTTTACATTACACCTGCCATTGGTAGGTTTTTTTTTGCGGGGCAAAGAAAAAAAAATTAAATTCTTTTCTCTCCTCGTTAACATTTAATATAAGAGATAAAAATTTCTTTCGATTTAAAAATTAAATTTTTTTTGGGAAAATGATTTAAATTATTAAAAACAAATTTTTTTTGTCAGTTATAGTTTTTTGAGAAAAAATAATTTCTGGATTAAAAAGTAATTTTTTTGGGTTAAAAAAATCATTTTTTTTGCAACGAAATTATTTTTCGTTAATTATTTTTTGTTAATAAATTATATTTTGGCAATTAGTTTTTGTAATTAACAAAAAAAAATTTAACAAGAGAATACTTTTGTTAAGAAATTATTTTTTGTTAATTATTCTTTTATGTTAAAAAATTATTTTTTGTCAATTTTTTCCTTTTGTAAAAAAATTTTTTGGTTAAAAAGTAATTTTTTTTGTGTTAAAAAATTACTTTTTTGATACAAAATTATTTTTCGTTAATTATTTTTTCGAGAAAAAATAATTTCTCGTCTAAAAAGTAATTTGCTTGTTAAGAAATAAATTTTTTCCTACAAAATTAGTTTTGGTTTGGTAAAATAATTTTTTTGTTGAAAAATTATTTCTGGGTTAAAAAGTATTTTTTTTGTGCAAAAATAATGTTTTTGGTACAAAATAATTTTCCTTTAATAATATTCTTTTGTTAAAAAATTATTTCTGGGTTAAAAAGTAATTTGTTTGTGTTGAAAAATAATTTTTTTGATACAAAATTATTTTTCGTTAATTATTTATTTGAGAGAAAATAATTTCTTGTCTAATAAGTAAGTTGTTTGTTAAAAAATAATTTTTTTGCTATAAAATTATGTTTTATCAAATAATTTTTTTGTTGAAAAATAATTTCTGGGTTAAAAAGTAATTTTTTTGAGCAAAAATAATATTTTTCGTATAAAATAATTTTCCTTTAATAATATTCTTTTGTGAAAAATTATTTCTGGGTTAAAAAGTAATTTGTTTTTGTTAACAAATAATTTTTTTGATACAAAATTATTTTTCGTTAATTATTTTTTTGAGAGAAAATAATTTCTTGTCTAAAAAGTAAGTTGTTTGTTAAAAAATAATTTTTTTGCTACAAAATAATGTTTTATCAAATAATTTTTTTGTTGAAAAATAATTTCTGGGTTAAAAAGTAATTTTTTTGAGCAAAAATAATATTTTTGGTATAAAATAATTTTCCTTTAATAATATTCTTTTGTGAAAAAATTATTTCTGGGTTAAAAAGAAATTTGTTTGTGTTAAAAAATAATTTTTTTGATACAAAATTATTTTTCGTTAATTATTTTTTCGAGAAAAAATAATTTCTCGTCTAAAAAGTAATTTGCTTGTTAAGAAATAATTTTTTTCCTACAGAATTTTTTTTGTTAATTTTTTTTCTTAAAATTATTTTCTACCATTTTTTTAAAAATTATTATTTAGCAATTGTTTTTCTTTTTGATAAAAAATTATTTTTCTGCTAGAAAAAATAAGTTTCGTGTAAAAAAATATTTTTTTTTGCGATTTTTTCTTCTTTTTTTTAGAAAATATATTTTTTTTACAGTTTTAATGGTGTTGACCCTTACGTCTTTATGGCTCGAGAGCACATCCACTGAGAGATTAATATTCGTGTGTATTAATTTTATTTGCCATCTTCTTTGCATTCAAGATCTTCAATGGAAGTTGCCATCAAACGGACAAGCTGCTCCACTTATTCGTAAGTGTCCAATTTACTCTCATCACTTAATGTCGCATATTTTTTTGGTCTACTTTTTGTTCTATTTTCTACTTTTATTAAATTGTTTTTTCACCTTTTTTTAATAAATTCAATTTTGAAATGCGATTATAAATGAAAATAAATTTTTTTAAAAATATTCATTAAATTATTAAGTAACATTTCGAAAGTAAAATTTATTTATTTTTTTAAATAATAAGATGTTTATTTATTTTTGTTTTATTTATAAAATAATATTTAAAATTTATTTAAGTTGAAATTTTGAATAAATTTTTTTTCATTAAAAAAGGCGTAAAAAAATTACAATAATTATTGTCACTTTTAATTAGCATAAAAAAGCGTAAAATTTATAAATTTATAGTATAAATATTTAAATATTATTTAAAACTATATAAATTTTTATTAATTATTTTTGATTAATATAATTTATAATTTATAATGAAAATAATTTTTCAGTGTTATATTACGAACATTCCTTATTATTGGCGGCATTTACGATTATATTGACGGTGATTCTTGGCCAATTAGAAAGATCGAATACAAAAGCACCGCAATTTTTAATATCAATAACAAACGATATTTTAAATAGTAAATTTGGTAAATATTTTTATATTAATTTATTGGATCCAAAATGTTATATGGGATTGAGAAATATTGACGACGATCAAATTTTGATTGGTCAAAATAAAAAGGATAATTCCTGGAAATATATTACAATTTTAATCAGTTGGCTAACATTTTTGATAATTTTCGTAATTTATTTTATACTATTAGTAATTTACTTGCCTCGCGATTCAGTGGAATTGAATGTTGATCATTTTGAAACGCGTCTGAGAAAATTATCAAAAGTTGACAATATTATCGCTGACTAACAATTTTTTTTTCAATAATTAATTGCAAATTTATAAATTTTTTTCAAATTATAAATATGTAAATTTTATAAATTATAAATTTTTAAGTTTTATATGTAAATTATAAATTTATAAAGAAAAATTTCGTATCGTGAAAAATTCTGGGAAAATTCAAATAAATTTTTCAGTTTTATAAATTATAAATTTGTAAATTTTATAATTATGATCTATTCGAATAAATAGTTTTTTATCGTTATTAAAAAAGAAAAAGCTTTCTATTATTTAAAAAATTTTTTTTCGCTTAATGTTTTTAATGAATTTTACTACCAAAAATAATTCCAACAAAAAATAATTGAAATACGGTAAGAATAATATTAAAAAATTAAAGTGAGTATAAATATTAAAGAGTTTAAATAATTCAATAGATCGAAAAATTTTGTGTAATATAAAATGTTTTATATTTCTATCTTCATATAAAAAAAAGAATTTTAATAAAATGACGTGAATACAATTTTGTTCAGGATTATTTAAAAAAATATTAGTTTAAAACTGCACTTATATCTTTTTATATAAATTTATTTCTTTTCGTATGTCACATTTTTTTATTTATTTGTAAAATATTATTTTCATTCTCTTGTTTTATGATAACTTTTATTTCGATAATGCGTAGATAATAATGATAATACCTACTACTTATCATAATTTTCATAAAAGTAGGGGACAAAAATTCCCATCTGTTAAATATATATATGTATACACGAATCTCTCGATATAAACTGTTCGTATCAATTTTTTTTTATTTTTTCTTCATTTTTCTATTTTTGGATGCTTTTTCCTTTTTTTTTTTTGTATTTCCTCCTCTTTAATATTGACACACGAGTGGATGAGAAAATAAGAGTTCATGCATTTTCCAGACACGTATTTTTATATAACATCTTACGAGTAATTTGATGTACATTTATACTTGAAAGAAAAAAAATTGAATTAGAAACAATAAAGTTAATTCGAGAGAATATTTTTAATTTAATTATTAAAGAAAAGTTGCTTCGAAAGTTAAAACTTATTAATTATTTAGTACAAAAAATTACTAAAGAAATTTTTTTATTATTATATTTGTTTATTTTTGATTTTTATATAAAAATTATATTTTTGTCTCGATAATGAAAGAAAATATATTAACAAAGACAAAATATAAAAATGAAAAAAATTTAATTATTATTATTTTTTTTCTTCTTTTCATATTTACGTTTTTGTCTCGATACTAAAAAAATATATTTTAATAAAGGCAAAATATCAAAAGGAAAAATAAATATATAAAGGGAAAAATTTGTGAAAAAATTTATTTAGTATTATTTATTTATTTCTGCTTTATAAAAATTACGCTTTTGTCTCGATATTGAAAGAAAATATATAGACAAAGACAAAAAAAAATAAAAAGAAAAATATTATTTATTATTATGTTTTTTCTACTTTATAAAAATTACCTTTTTGTCTCGATACTGAAAGACAAAATATAAACAATAAAATAAATATACAATAGAAAAAAAATACAAAAATGAATGAAATAAATATAAAAATAAATTTTCGTGAATGTGGGAAAATTAAAATAATAAAAATAAAAATTAATATAAAATAAAATATATTAATAGACTCACAATTAAGTAGTTTTGTTAATAAATAAAAATAAGTAAATAAATATTTATTAGTTTCGAAAAATTGAAATAGTGATAATTACTACGTCAAAAAATTTTTTCTTTCATTTAAAATATATTCTTTTTTATTTTCAGCAGAACTAATAGAAAAACAAGTAATTTCTTCTTACTTCCATGTAAATTCTCTTTTAATGCAGTAAAAGATTTCCTCTTTATTCATAAAAAAGAACGTTAACAAAGCAAATGAACCCTTTTTAAAACTTTTGATTTTTTTTCTGAAGAAAAAGGACGTTTATTAATTCAGAGAAATATGTATTTATATTTTAAAAGGATGACTTCAAAAGAAATTTCTATATTTTTCATCAAAAACTTCAACTTTATGAAACTGACATTTACTATATTTGATGTACAAATAATTGCAGAATGTAAGAGAAAAAATTTTCATTTAATTGTAAATGACGTATAAAAAAAAATTCGTAGACAGTGTAAAATGTTGAATATAGAGAAAAAAAAAAATTTGTCTCACTTTTTTTTTGACATAAAAATGTCTGACTGAAATCGAGTTTTATACTACTGTTATGGGAAAAATTCAGTCTGATCAAAGATTTTTTTTTTCTTCTAGAATAAAATTAATGGAAAATAATTATTTTCTATTTTTATTTAATAATTAATTGATTTAGTTTTTGTCTGATCGATAATGATTTTTACTACTGAAATTCAAACATAGGATATTGATAGAATGTCTGAGTAAAATTTACTTGCACTACTGACGAGAAAAATCGGTTTTATTCAATTTTACATCTAAATTTTCTAAATTTAGTTTTTCTAAACTTTTGTCTGACTGATTATTGACCTTTACTACTGAAAATCAGAAAAGGTTTTTAAAGTCTGGGTGGAATTTACTTTTAGTACTTGAATTCAAAAATCAGTCTAAATGTAAATTTTTTTTCTTTTTATTCGTTTTTCAATTAATTTCTGTCTGACTGATTATTGACCTTTACTACTGAAAATCAGACAAGATTTTTAAAATATGTGTCTGGCTTAAATTTATTTTTAACATTTCCTCTACATTTATTCATTTGGAAATATTTGTTTGACTGATTATTGACCTTTACTACTGAATATCAGACAAAAGTTTTGCCAAAAGTCTGGCTTAAAATTACTTTTCCCACTGATGAGAAAATTTATAAAAATGTTTTTCTTCATTTTCTTCATATGAAAATGTTTGTCTGACTGAAATTTACCTCGACTACTGAAATTCGATTGAGGAAAATTTATTTTTTCTGTAAATTGTAAGAATAAAATTCAGTCATAAAAATTTTTTTTTCACAAAAAAGAAAAAAATATGTAGTACCTAACTAGAATTATTTATATTAAGCAAAAACAAAACTGTCTGAAACCTTTTGAATTATCTATTTTTGTTTATTAATAAATTTAATTAATTTAATTATTTTCAAAAAGTTAATTATTGCCTTTTTGAAATTAATTTAATTATTTTCAAAAATTTAATTATTCCCATTTTGAAATTAATTTAATTATTTTTCAAAAATTTAATTATTTTCTGTTTGAAATTAATTTAATTATTTTCAAAAAGTTAATTCTTTCTCTTTCTGTCATTAATTTAATTATTTTTCAAAAATTTAATTAATTTTGCACAAATTAATTTAATTATTTTCAAGAATAATTTCATTATATATCGAAATTAATTTAATTTATTAAAACTCTACTAGAATTTAACCGAAAAATGACAAGTCTGACTTAAATCGACTTCTTCTACTTTCGTCAAACTTTCTTTCCTCACAGAATTTTTTTTTTTAACAATACTTAAAAAAAAACCAACTATTATCTCAGTCTCAGCTAACATTGACTTGTACTACTGATTTTTTCAAAAATAAATTTTCCAAAGTAAAAAAAAATCCTAATTTTCATTCCTAAGGGAAAAGGAATTTAAACTACCTTAATTTTTTAAGAAAAGAAAAATACTCCTTTTGTGCGGGAGAAATAATAAATAAAATAATTCATTTATTTAAGAATTTCATTAATTTTCTGTTTAATTAATTAATAAATCTAAGAACGTATACGTACAGCCATTTGCATTGAATTACCATTTGAGAATAATTGTACAGATTAGGTCTAGTGGGAAATCCATTTCACTTGAGTTTAATAAACTAATTATTTAGCTCCAATCAGCAACCATTAATTACAAAACCAGATGCATTGTATTGTTCTATAATAAGAGTAAAACAATGTCTGGATTCTATAATAACATTCATTTGCCTAATGCATATTTAATTTTTCAAAAGTTCTGTATTCTGAATATGACAATAATAATAACAATAATAACTAAGAAAATTAATTTATTAATAATAATTAATATAATGATACTATTATTTATACTACAACTGCTACTAGTAATTGTAATATTATAATAATATTTTTTAGTAGTACTACTACTGCTACCACTACTAGTAAAAATAATAATAATAGTATTAGAACTACTACTACTAGTAATGACTATATACTACTAGTAGTATTAGAACTACTACTGCTAGTAATGACTATATACTACTAGTAGTATTAGAACTACTACTACTAGTAATGACTATATACTACTAGTAGTATTAGAACTACTACTACTAGTAATGACTATATACTACTAGTAGTAATGACTATATACTACTAGTAGTATTAGAACTACTACTACTAGTAATGACTATATACTACTAGTAGTATTAGAACTACTACTACTACTACTACTGATAATAATAATACTATTAGTGTTACATTAGTGTTACTATTAGTGTTGCTATTAGTGTTACTACTACTGTTACTACTAGTAATAATAATAAGATAAGTACTACTAATGCCACTACTACTACTAGTAATAATATATTAATAATACCATAAGTACTAGTAGTGCTAATAATGATATAATAATACTTGTATTACTATTACTATTATACCAGTAGTAATAATAATACTATTAGTACTACTACTGCTACTACTACTATTACTAGTAGTGTTAATAATACTATTAGTATTTCTACTTCTGATACTACTATTCATAATAAAAATAATATAATAATAATAATATTAGTAGTATTACTACTACTATTAATAATAATGATATAATAATAATAATAATACTATTGTCACTACAACTGCTGATACTACTACTAAAAATACTGTTACTATTGCTATTATTACTACTAATAATAAATGCAGAAACTAAGTAAAATTTATTTAAAATACAAATATTGATTAATAAAGTTTAATTGTTTTATAAAAAATTATTTTGTCAATTTTAGAAATTTTCGTATAATCACTTCGATTATAATTTAGAACTTATTTTGCGGAAGTATTTTATTGTAAATTTAAAAAAGTGAAGTAAAAATAAATTTTAGTATTTTAATATTTTAATTGTCAATATTTTAATTTTTAATATTTTAGTTTTTAATATTTTAATTGTCAATATTTTCATTCTTAATATTTTAGTTTTCAATATTTTAGTTTTTAATATTTAAGTATTTTAATATTTTAAATGTTTAATTTTTATACTCTTTTGTATTTTAACATTTTATAATATATTTAAAAGCACAAATATTAAATAATAGTGAATTAATATTATACTTTTTTAATCTGAAAAAAAGTGACTGAAAAAAGAAAGAGAATTTTTTCTTCTCCCTTTCACAAAAAAAGCTTTTATAATATAAAATATGTAATTTTATACACAACAACAAACCTGGGAATAAGTTTATCCTCGAGCATACTTGGTAGATCATCGGTATCTTCAGTGAGTGCAGCAAAAAAATCCTGAAACTTGTCAGGAAAATTACTAGACGGACAGGTGCTTGAATTTGAAGAAACCTCAGTTGATATTGTTGTCTCGGATGTTTCGGTACCGTTATCATGGTACTTTTGTTCTGTGGACATTGCCATAGGCACTAATAGTTTCACTTATTCTTATCTTTCTGCTCATGAATTAAACTTTTGCGTTGAACGTCAACCAAAAAAAAAAGAACAAGTTTTTTTTTTATTTAAAACACCATTATTGCCCCATGGCGTCACATTTCCACCCTATTTTTTTTTTGTTTCACGATAACAAACTGATTTTAACTTTTTTTTTTGGAGAGAAAAAAGAAAATAAACCATTATTATGCATATTTTTTTTTTTTGATAAAGAGAATAAAGGGAGTTTTTTTTATCTTTTCGCAAATTTTTTTGTATCAGGAGAGAGATAATTTTTTTTTTAATTAAAATGTAAAAAGTTTAAAATAAAAAACATGATTTTATACTTAATTTTTTTTAATCTAATAAAATATTAATTTGAAAAAAATAATATTCGATTTTTAATGTTTTCCAAAGTTTGAATTTTTTTGTTGCTCGACTGTTAAATTGTTTAAGTAATTTATAATTTTTCAAATTTTTCGAATTTTCGAAAAATAATATTCGATTTTTAATGTTTTTCAAAGTTTGGATTTTTTGTTGTTAGACTTAAATTGTTAACAAATTTGTAATTTTTCAATTTTTAGGATTTTTTTATTTTTTTTTTTTTATTAATTATTTCCAATTATTACTTCTTTTTCCATATTTTTTCTATTTTCCAATTATTCATTGCTAATATTATTTGCTATTGTTATTTGTTATTTTATTTATTGTTTGGTATTTTATTTATTCTTTACTATAATTATTTGTAATTTTATTTATTGTTTGATATTTTATTCTTTGCTATTTTATTTATTGTTTTATATTTTATTTAATAATTAATTTAATATTTATTACTTGCTATTATTTATTGCTATTTTATTTATTGTTTGAATTTTATTTTATTCTTCATAATTATTATTTGCTGTTGTATTTACTTTTTGCTATTATTATTTGTTATTTTTTTTCATCGTTGGATATTTCTTTGCTATTTTATTTATTGTTTGATATTCGATTTATATTTGCTATTATTATTTACTATTTTTTTTTATTTATTAATATTTGCCTAGAAGAAAAATTGCATTTATTTTTTCTATATTTATACATCAAAAAAATTTTCGTTTTAATAACAAATTTCGTGAAATCAAATAGAGAATATTTCATGGTTTCCAGGAGTAGAGGATGTCACTAATGAAGATTTAAAATTCAAATTTTGTAACAAGTTTCCTCGCTTGCCAAAGAAACAAGGACAGTCGAGATATAATTTACTTTTAATTTGTGCATTAATAATTCAGTAGTTTTAAGTCCTATAAAAGTACCTATGAGACACTCAACAACTTATTTTTAATATGCAACACTTTACAAAGACAATATTAGACAGAAATAATAATTATCATAATTTCCATGAGAAGATTTCATTTTTCTCCTGCTTCTAATGCAATTTATATTTCATTTCAAGGAAATTAATTAACAACATTTTTATTTTTACATTTTATATATAAATAAATAGGAGAAAATATTATTTCACTGGTGTTATTTTGTTCTCTCGGATTTATATTAATTATTATTATGGTAATTAAAAAATAATAAGTAATTAAGTGCTAATAGCAAAATTTTTGTAAATTTTCATTATTATTATTAGATATTATTATTATTTTAAAATTATTATAATTATAATTATTATTTTACTAGTATTATTATTATTATAGTCAATTATATTAAAAAAAGAATTTACTTCTGTTTCCTAAATTAAAATATAAATAAGATTTTGTTGATTAATAAATTACATTATATGGAAAACGAGAAAGGAAATTAATTAACAAAAAAACGACTAATTAATGAAATGTTTCAGAAATAAAGAAAACAATTTTTAATAATGTCACGTTTTCTACAAAATTGTAATTGATAAATTACTGAATAAATCCAATGAAAATTAATTGAGAAATTTTAATTTTACAATTTTAATGAAATTCTCTGCGCTTTTATGTACAAAATATTTGTCTCTTTAATTATTAATAATTATCGAAATACTATTTTACAATAACACAATCGCAAATGAATGAAATTTATTTCCATTTGTCAACTAATCTAATTTTCATATAAAAATTAATTTAAAAATTTCGATTCGATAATTATTCTCTTCTGATACGTTTTAAAATAAAAATCGCCAAAAAAAAAGTCTGTCAAATTATGTGCAAAACATTTAGAAATTAAAAAATTTGCATAATAATAAATATTTCTTAAATTGTCACAAATTGGAATAAAATAAATAAATAAAATTTTTCCACTTTTATTTTTCAAAAATCCAATGCGCTTGATTATTAGAAAATTCTAATTTTGCCAGAGAAAATCATTTTTTGAAATACGTTTTTATTTTTCTATTTAAAATTTTAAACAATATTAATTTATTAATTAATTTTTTAATTAAATATTAATTTAACTCTATTGCACTGTTATCTTTTGTTTCTCATTCGAATGTAAAATTGTATTAATAGACGATTCTACCGATAGAAAACTCTTTTTTTATTAATTTCAAGAAAAAACACTTTAATTTTATTGGTAAAATTTATTTATGAGAAAAAAGTTATATTTTTATGTTTAATAGAAAAAAAGACGATGAGAAAATGAAAATACAAACACTTCGAAGAAATTTTGATAGTGTCGCGAATACATAAAGGTATTTCGACAGGTGTATACCCTCTGGCAGACTGAAGCACGCGCGGGTGTTACACTTGGTTTTCTAGATACCAGAAGCTTGATTATTCCGCGCACGCGTAACTCACCCCTTTTAAAAACACAACTGAATGAGTTATAAATAATATTGTATATATAAAAGTGTGAAATAATAGACGAAAAAATAAGAATACAAATAATATAATAATAAATTATTATTTTTTAAAATAATTTAACATAAATTTTTTTTCTACAATTTTTTTAAGTAGTATATGCTGCTTTTAGTCAGACCAATATTTTACAAAAATATAATAATAATAGTCTTTTTAATAACAATAAATAATAATTATTTCTTTTCTGCAATTTTTTAAGTTGTATAAGCGTCATTTAGTCAGACAAATATTGCACAAAAGATAGTAATAATTTTTTAAATAATAATTAATAATATTAATTTTTATTTTCTGGAATTCTTTAAGTAGTATAAGCGGCTTTTAGACAGACAACTGCTACACAAAAAATAGTAATAATTTTTTTTTAATAACAATTAATAAGATTAATTATTTTTTATCTGTAATTTTTTAAGTAGTATAATCGGCTTTCAGTCAGACAGATAATGTAGTAAAAAGTACAATTAAACAGCGAAAGGGTTTGCAAATATTTTTCTATAACTAAAAGCCGATTATAGGAATTAAAAAATTGGAGGTATTTTAAAATTCTAGTCTAACGAAGCACAACGTTTACTACTGATGCAAAAAGTGAAAAGAATGATTTTAAATACTTGTCTGACGAAAAAACCGTTTCTACTACTTCAAAAATGTTTGGAATTCAACAAAAGTTCACATTGACAAACGCAAACGTTTACCACTGGCAAGGAAATAAAAAAAAATTTTTTTTCGTTATAAAAATATGCAGTCTGACTGTGACTGACATTTACTACTCAGCTCGCTACTAAGAAATGATGGTTGGAATATGTTTTGTCTGATAATTATTGATTTATTTTACTTGCATCTCGACTTGCATTGAGTATATTCTGGACAATAATTTTGTGAAATATTCGTCTCACTAAAATCTGTTCGTACTACTTAAAAATTTTAAGGACTTTGAAAAAATTCTGTTTAACGAATAAGAGAAATTTTTACTACTTACATGAAAATAGGAAAAAAATGTTTAATTTTCCTTAAAATTTTTCTTTTTTGTAACGTCTGACTTCAACTGACATTTACTACTGAAATTCGAAAATGATACCTATTTATTCAATTTGATAGAAAATTGTTTTTCCTAGTAATTATTTATTTTCTACTACCATATTGAGTGTTGAGAATAATTTGTAAAATGTCTGACAAAAAGTCGCTTATACTACTTAAAAAATTGTATACGAATTTGAAAAATTCTGAAGAAATGTAATTTTTTTACTGGTACGAAATAATAATTTAAACAATTGAAATAAAAATAAAACAGATTTAAGGAAAAATATTCAGTCTGACTCTGATGGTCATTTACTACTAAGGTTTCATATTTAAAAAATGTTTTGTCTGATAATTATTGATCTTTTCTACTTCCATTCAGTGTAGACAATAATTTTTCGAAAAATTCGTCTGACTAAAAGTAGTTTATACTACTTGAAAAATTTCAGAAAATAAAAAAATTAATGTCTGACGCAATTTTAACTTTTACTACTGATACAAAAATTGGTAAAAAAAATCAAAATTTGGGGAAATTTCAGTCTGACTGAAATTTACATTTACTACTTAGAATCCAAATTTTCAAAATTGTGATATTTTAAATAATTTAATTAATTGTCTGATAATTGTTGATCTTTTCTTCTTCTATTCAGGGTAGACAATAATTTTTTAAATATTCGTCTGACTAAAAACTGTTAATACTACTTAAAAATTGTCAGGAATTCAAAAAAAAAAAATCACCGACTGACGAAACAATAACTTTTTCTACTCATATTAATGAAAAAAAATTTTTTTTCCATTCTGACTGTAAAAAATCCAGTCTGACTGTGACTGACATATACTACTAAGATTTAATAGTTGAAAAATATTATGTCTGACAATTATTGATTTTTTCTACTAAGTGTAACTTCTCTATTAAATTTAGACAATAGCTGGTAAAATATTTGTCTGACTAAAATCTGTTTATACTACTTAAAAAATACCAAAAATTAAAAAAAATCACCGTCTGACAAAATATAAACTTTTACTACTGGAAAAAATTTTTGTATCAAAATATTCACTCTGATTGTTAAATTCTCTTAATATTTATCGATTTTTAAAAGAAAGGCAAATAAAAATATTTATTTTTTGGATAAAATTCCATTATCCTACAATAACAATAGAAATTCGATTTTACAGGAGTGATTTTTATTTTTATTTTTATTTTTTTTTGTCATGCTTCTAAAATGAGTTAGCAATAATTCCCCTTTGTGGAACGTTAAATCCAATTATTTTCTCTTAAGCATCGTTTTGATATGTGTACAAACAAAGACAACATATACATATATATATATATATATATATATATATATATATATATATATATATATATATATATATATATATAAAGAAGAGTGGTTTTTTTTTCATCTCAATTTCTCTAATTTTCAAATTACTGAATTATACTCAGTGAAATCTCAATTTACAAAATCCTATATGAAACTCTATTTTAAAGCGGTTTGTATTGAGCGAATCGATATTCAACACGAAGCGAAGCAATTTTTTATGTTTTTTTTTTTTTTATTTTTGTACTTTTTTTCTAAAACAGTTAGCCGAAGCGAAACGAATTCTATTATTCAATAAGGATTTATAGAACCTGCGATAAATAATTTGCCTTTTATAAATTCCATCGATCCAAAATTTAATTAGATTAATGTTAAAATATTTTGTTCACATATAATTATTTGTTCTAGTAAATATTTTTTTTGTAACAAACAATTTTTCTAATGAAAGACTTTTTTAACAATAATTTTTCTGATAAAAAGAATTTTTTCTAACAATAATTTTTTAATTAAAGCACATTTTTCAACAATAATTTTTTTTAATTAAAACAATTTTTTCTAATAATAATTTTTTTTAATCAAAACAACTTTTTCTAACAATAATTTTTTTAATCAAAACAATTGTTTCTAACAATAATTTTTTTAATCAAAACAATTGTTTCGAACAATAATTTATTTAATCAAAACAATTTTTTTTAATAAAGCAATATTATTGTCTAATTACAATTATTTTTTAATGAAAATTTTTCGATTCAAACATTTGTTTTAACAATAATTTTTCTAATTATACATATTTTTTTTAACAAAAATTTGTTCTAATCAATAGAAAACAATTTTTTTTTTATAAAAATGTTTTTAATAAAAATAATCATTTTTACCAAAAATTTTTCTAATCGAAACAATTTTTTCTGATGACAAATTTTTCTAATAATAATTCTTGTAATGACGATTTTTTCTAACGAAAATTTTTCTAATTAACAATTTTTCAAACAAAATTTTCTCCAGACAAAATTTTTCTAATAACAAATTTTTTCTTACGAAAATTTTTCTAACAGCAATTTTTGTTATGAAAACAATTTTTTCTGACCAAAATATTTATAATCAAAATAATTTTGTTTTGAACAAAAATTTTCCTACTCAACAATTTTTTTCTTAATAAAAAGTTTTCTGATAACAAATTTTTCCTAACGAAAATTTATTTAAACAAAACAATTTTTTTTTAATAAAGAAATTGTCTTATTGCAATTATTTTTTAATGATAATTTTTCGATTCAAACATTTGTTTTAACAATAATTTTTCTAATTACAAATTTTTTTTAATCGAAAATTTTTCTAATGAAGAATTTTTCTGACAACAATTTTTTTCAATGAAAACAATTTTTTCTAACAAAAATGTTTATGATCAAAACAGTTTTATTTTACAGAAATTTTTCTACTTAACAATTTTTTTCTTAATAAAAAGTTTTCTAACAAACATTTTTCTAATTACAATTTTTTTTTAACGAACATTTTTTTAATAAAAAATTTCTGGTTAACGAATTATTTTTCTAATCAAAAATTTGATTTTTTCGAATGAAAAATAAAATAATTTTTAATTTTATCGCTTATTGTTTTACATTTGACTAATATTATAGTTTTCACTACTGAAAATATTAAAAAATTATTTATGAGAATCTGAGTGACTAGAAATGACTTTTACTACTGTCATGAAAATTGACTAAAATAGAGAAAATAAAGAAAATAAAGAAAATAAAGAAAATAAAGAAAATAAAGAAAATAAAGTAAATAAAGATAATAAAAAAAATAAAAAATAAAGAAAATAATGAAAATAAGGAAAATAAAAGAATAAAGAAAATAAATAAATTAATAATTAGGAAACTAATTTTTAACAACTTTGGAAAAATAAATAAATGTATTATTCTCTCTTTTTCATATTGTTCGGTTCTATTTCATTGATCACGATTTTTTTTCCGCATTGCATATAGAATAAGAAAAGTTTTCAAATAAAATTTCACAGAAAAGTAATTTTCTGCCTCATTCGCAGTGAAGAGAGAAAGAAATATGAACAGTGCATATAGTATAGTATTTCAATCAATAAGAGATCGACTTTCTCACTAGTAAAACAAAATCACAAATTTCTAATTATCTTTCAATTATATATTTCCTATTTCGTTAAAATTGCTCTACTACAAAAATTCCTTTCATTTCCTAGATATATACGTATTGCAAGAAAAAAAATTCTTTTTGTTAGTTATTTCACCTTTTAGTATTTTATAAACAAAATTTTTATCAAGCATTTTATATTATATTTTACTCAGTTATTATTCTAAAGGATATCAAATTGAGTCAAAAAAACCATTTGAAAACTTTGCTTTGCAACACTTTTGATTCGTTTTTTGTCTTTATTTGATATCCTTAGAAATATTGTGTTATTATAAATTTATTATTTTTGCGATTTGATTTTACGATTATAAATTCGACGCAGTGGTGTTAATAATAAGTAAATAAATGGCTCTAAAATACTTA